GCAGCTGATCTCGTACGGCCTTTAACTTCGTCCAAAGTGACCGATCGAAGCACTTGGTCTACGCTATAAATACACATCGGGTACTCGCGAGCGCTAGATAAATCACCGAACTTGAGAAGCGTCTCTTGTGGTTTAGGGCGTACGTTGCACGATCGTGGTTGCGTGACCGTCGGCTCCGTGACCTTTAGAATTTCTTTCACGAATCCTATTTGCACTCGGTGACGTTGCAGTTGCCGAAATAAACCTAGGTGAGTCGCGCCAGCTTCGTGAAATATTGCTTCGTTACGCTAATTCCGTACTCTCTACCACTTTCCCAGTGTATGTCGATCGTAAACTTCTTCGTGCCGAAGATAATAATAATATATTGGATCAATTTTCTGAAATATGAATTTCGGTAGTGGGTAGTTAGATGGCCTGCAACTAGTCTGAATCATATAATCTATTTTAAAAGCGGCCAGAAAAATATAATCGAAGAATAAATGATTAGAGTTAAATTTGAAAATATGTACTATATCTAATTTCTAATATTTTCTAGAATAATACATTTACTTGTGATTAACTTATTTCGATTTATTTTTTAGCCACATTTATATTGCATATCCATTAATAATATTGCTGAGAAAGTAAATCCCAGATATCTTCTTCCATTAGAGTAAAATTAATAAAAAAATCTGATAATAAGAAAGAATATAAAACTTAGAAAAATAGAAATATTTAAGAAATTGATTTATAAAAAATGTAATATAAAAAATAGATGCTTCTTTACATAAATTTAATAAATTCTTTACATAAATTACATAGGTATATAATTTTATATCAAACATTTTGTATCAAACTTCAGAAGTAATATTTATCTAATACTAAAATTAGTTTAACAATGACAATTAATTGAACAACTCAATTTTTTGATATTTACTGTTTTTGAAATATTTTGAAATATTTGAATTGCACAAAACGATAAACTTGATAAGGTATTATTGTAAGAAACGCAATATGATAGCATTCTGATAAAAATTTATTATATGAAAAAAAATTATATAAAAATAACATGAATTTGAACTTAGTTCGCGAATTTTTGTTTAACCACTATAAATTATCTTTATTTGTCAGACCGAAGTCATAATTTCATTATTATGATAATCTATTGGATATATGATAGACTTTTACTACTGACAAGAACGACACCTGTCTCATTAAATAAATGCTTGCTTCACTGCTGCAAAGTGTCTGACTCGTCAGATACTTGCACTACTTGCAAGGTTAGCTAGTCTTGGTTTAGTCTATTGTCAGAAATATTTTTAACAAAAATATATCGATTTTTTCCACAAGTTTATATTGTTATATATACATATTGCATAGATTTATTATCTAGATGTCACATATATACTAGTCGAGTACGAGTCAAAAGAAAAATATCTCAAAAACAATATCAATACTGCTATGCAAGTTTTTATTTATATTGTAAATTAACAATCGTATATACATATATTTGATATTTTACTTAATTTTAAACGTAACATTCTACTTAATTTTAACATAAATAAATTTTAGATTAAGGTTTAAATTGTGCATAAGTTGTACACATTATATCTTTATATTATATTATTTTAAAATATTAAAATAATAATGTGTAAGAGATAATAATGTTTGATTATGATAAATTTTTATCTGAAACAGTTTATGAAAAAATTCTCTAAAAAAGAAGAATAAAAAGAGGAAAACTAGTAGCTTTGCATATTTTATATATTAAAACAAAGTATTTGAATGTTGTGTTAATAAGATTATGTCTTGAGCCTAAAACGATCGCAATCAAACGAAGAGCAGGAATCGATGCGACGTGATCCATCAGCACTTCAGCACTCAACTAATCAAACAATTACGATCTAGCAATTAAACTTAGTTAATATTACGCGCCAATATTAGTGCAATCGCGTTTAATGGACGCAGCTGAATTACGATTGTGCACCGCTCACATCCTTTTACATTAGCGATGGAAAATAAAGCGTAACCTGATCAGAATTAGAAATTATAATTGTATTATACTAAAAGTAGCAATTCAATGATATAATATATTTATATATCCAAAGTATAAAGTAATTTATAAATTTTATACATATTCACATATGCATCTTTTACTTATTTTAAGATAAACTTTACATAGCAAAAATGTGCTTTGATATTATTATATCTTACAAATTTTTAGTATTTATTTGTAGATGATGTTACAAACATATATATATTACAAAACATATTTTTATAATGTGTTTAATAATTTTTTATTTATTTATTTTTGAGTTAATATCTTTAACAAATTGCAGAGAGTATATTATTCCAGAGCAATAAATTATTGCATTAGAATGCGTATCTTAGCTAAAGTATGACGCTCGAGGGTTAATTTCACACTCATTGATCGAGAAAAAGCAAAATGAAAACTAGAACGCGCGACCAAAGAGTTACACGATTTCGGATGCCAATTTTGTGCCGCAGGATAGAAAGTTGTCGATAGCTGAATCTGTGGTAAAATAATATATTGCGTGTGTGCATTTAGTCCCGATTAATTCCGATCATACCAACTTTTTGCTGATTGACGCAAGTAATGGTATTTAATTAAATTTATTTGAACAAAGGTATGCTATCTTGTATAATATCATCCATATCGAAAAGTGATCACAGAAGATATAGAGAAAAATTACACACTATATTTTTTTTATTCTGTTGTTCTAGTACTAATTCAATTATTTAATTGTCAATTCTTTTGCTTATTATATAATTTTTATTAATAGTTAAGATTAAATAATTAAATTTGATCCCCAGTCATTGATACGAAAAATATTAATTATATGAAATTTCTTACGTTTGAAAATGTATTCTTATTTACACAAAAAAATCATTTTAAAAGAAATAAAACAATTTTTAATTATATAGAGAATTTCTACATAAACATTCTATATAAATATAAATTATATAGTGTTCTATATAAATTATCCAATAATAAATAAATTTTTATAAATTTTGAACTTCTAAATGGAAAATTTAGGTTATATATGACTTCTCTGCAAATTCTCTGTAAAAATCTCTTCTTCTGTCATAATTAAAATTTTAACAAAATTTAATTATGACAGAATAAT